TGCAGCAAGTGAGCTTCTCCTGCATCTCCTGCTTTTATGTGGAGTGGCAGAAAATCCAGGGGGAAATGGGAGCACAAGGAGCCACCCTTCTCCCTCAGCACAGGTCAGAGGAAAGATGACACATGAAAAAGCACAGGGCTCTGTTTTAACCAGTGCACCTTTGGTGGGAACTAACATCACAGCCTGATCCCTTCCCCCTCTCAATTCCCACAGCCTCCCACCTCCCCACTGTCTCAGAGCTCACAATTTACCATCTGCCCTTGATCTTCTCTTTGTACTGAAAACGTGTGGTAACTGCAACATCTTTACATGCAACAAATGATAAGGGAGATAAGAGAAACAAGGAAATAGTGAGCAGGACACAGCCAAAAGCAGTGGTACATCCTGTAGTGCTTCCTGTCATCTAACCACTGAAACGACACAAAAAAATACCCAAACACTTCTTTTGTCTAGAACTTCACAGTGTGTGAAAATAAACACCCTGGAAAAAATGAAAATGCTATTCAAAAATACAGGAAAGAATGTAAAACTTACCAGGCTCTAACTTGATTATTTTTACAGCAGCCAGTTCTCCTGTATGAAGATTTCTAGCCTGAAACAAGAGAGTTAAGACATATTTAATTAAATTATTCTGCAAAGGCACTTCACAGAGTCCTGCAAACTGTGCAAAGATAAACTACGATGTGTGTTACAAATACGATGCAAAGCTGAGAGTGACCTGAGTGAGCATTACCTGGGTTGGGAATCAGCACAGCATCAGCCTAGCTGGAATTGTGAAATGTTCCTGGCAGTTCTGTTGGAGACTTTAAGGCAACCACCAGCAAATCACAGAATTTAGGTTGGAAAAGACCTCCAAGGTCATTGAGTCCAAGCTGTGATTCCAGCCCGGAGCACTGAGAGTCACGTCCGGTCGTTCCTTGGACACCTCCAGGGATGGGGACTCCACCACCTCCCTGGGCAGCCCCTAACAATGTTTAATCACTTTTCCTGTGAAGCAATTCCTCCTGATGTCCAACCTGAACCTGAAAATGAGAGTTCATGCCTCTCGAACACCACTTTTAAGGGAAGTTTCTGCCGTGATGCACCACGGGCTGTCAGAGCACGGAGCACACGGAGCTCAGCCACCCATCTCATGGTGCTAAAACCTCAGGGTGCACTGAAAGTGGAACTGAGAGGTGCAGGGGCAGGGGGAGGCACTGCAGAAGCAGCTTGAACAAGTCACAGCTCCTTGTCAACAACTTAATTCTGAAAACCAACTCCTTTGAGCAGCCCTCGCTTCCCACGATCCTCGGGAAGAAGGAGAAGGGGTAGGGAGATCCAGATAAGCCTTTACAGAAGTGTCCTCTCTGGATATGCTCCAAAATTCACACTGAAAATTCAGCACTGAAGGAGGATGTCACAGAAAAGTCAGACACAGAAAGTTTTAGAAGGGGATTTCATTAACACTTTTAACCATAACAACACGACCTAAATCACTCAGGCACCATCACCAGAGCTAAACTCTTAAATTTTGGACACACAGCGTGATTCAATCAGGCACTGTGGCATTCATTCTCCTTCTGCTGATCACCCAAAAGTTACAGGAGCCCAAACCCAATTGTTTCATTCTTACCCTAACAAACATGGAGAGTCTGCTTCAGAAGTGGATTATAGAAAACGGAGGGAAAACTGGGTGAAATCAATTTGGGCAGTTACTTAAGAGGAGGATGTAAAGCAAATCTGACCCTGTGAAGGGAGTCATTACAGAACAAAACACTCTTCTCCTGTGGATGGAGAAGAGGTAAAGCTTTACAACAGGTAAAGCAAGAACCTGAAGGGTGAACCCCTCAGTTTTACCAAAACTTATCAAGCTTCCAAATAGGGAAAGGCTTTCCAGCCAGGAAAAAAACACAGCAAAACCAAACCAAACCAAAAAAACCACCCCAACAATCACTGGCCTTTCAAAGGCCTGCAGTGCTGGGACGTGAGGTGGGTGTCAAACGCAGGCCAAGGACACAAATATGACTCAGCTTGAGGTCAGAGAGAACCTGAACAACTGTACAGTGGAACCAAACATCTGAAGGCCAAATCACTGAAGCAGATTGTCATCTGCAAACCACAAAGGAAACATTCACCACTTCTTAAAGTACCTTCCTACCACAGCGAAATCCTTGGTGTCCTTCAGCATCCAGAAGGAGAACGCATCCCAGCATGGATAAAGGATTCGGACCTCTCTGCTCCTGTTACATCTAATGATACTGTTGGGAAACATGGATGTTCCCATCAGGGACACACACCCTGCCTTGGGGAAGTCAGGGATTCTTCACTATCCAGTGTTACCCACAAGGAGCTAAGCTGCTCACATAAAGACTGCACAGTTTCCAGAAAATCAGCTTCACTTCTGAAGTACAAAAAAGATCATATTCCTTACAAATATTCCTTTTCCATACAAGCAGTAACTGCCACTGTCATGCTGAAGCCTGAAGGAATGGATGGAGTCTGCCAAAGGCCTCTTGGCTGGGATTTGGAGGTCCAGGCTGGAGATCACTGCTATTCCTGGCTCTCAGCTCTCACACACAAGAGCTACAGAGTTCCACCAAATTTTGTCCAATATTACCACTAAGCTTTTGCATATAACCCATAGCTTGGACGTGGACTATTTCATGTTTGAACCATCAAACTCTGCCTGCTGGAACAGAAAGCTCCCTCCTGGGTTGGTATTTATGAACTAAGCAAACCAAGTTCCCTGAGCCACTCGCCCTAAGACCAGTTTTCTGGTCCTACAGTTTATTTTCCAGCCGTTCTGAGTTGATGACACCAAACCCACACGTGATCATTAACTCCTGTTGTGCCAGCACTGAAGGTAAAAATGCTGAGTATTCCCTGATCCTCAAAATCCTTGTTTGGATGCCCACAGGCATGGAATGGTAGAAGATCTTCAGCCTAGACAGTGGTGAACATGCAGCAAATCACCCAAAACGCGTCCTGAAGGAGTCACCTGCCTGCAAACGTGGCCAGTGGCTTTTGTTCCCTCATCTTGGATTGCACCAGCCTCACACAGGCACACCACAGCTCCATCCCTTCCCCTTTCCCACCTGTCAGCTGCAAACCCATCAATAATGAATTGCTGTTCTCTTGCACATCATTAAAAATGCAAGAAGGCAAGGGCTGAAAACTGGTTCTCCACGGGACACACCCAGATATGAAAAGTGTCAGCTCAGGAGTCCTCAAATCATTCTGAGATGTGTGAGTTGAATAATCCTCGACTCGTTTCCCAGGGGTGACGAGTTTGCAGCATTCTGGTTGCTTTTTTTCTTTCAGAAAGAATTGTGTGGTTATCAAGGAAGTCACAGACAGGAAAGCACCACATCAGCACTGCTGGCTTTCTGAATCAAACCTGCAGTTTGACTACAAATCGTGTTTGACGAAAATACAAACCCCTGTGAAGAGTTAGTGAATGATCTATCAATATTTCTTACTGAAATATTTCAACATATCAATATTTCCTACTTCTTCACCGCAGAGGCGGAATTGAAATAAGGCTAAGAAATTACAGTTCTTCTACTCCTCTTATTTACATTTTTCAAGCCCAACAGCAAAATATCTGCCTCTTCCCCACACCCTGACATTTCCTCAGTATTTCAAGTCTCAATTTAAAATTATCTGAAACCAAGCAGAGGAACTGTTACTGCACCCCAAGTAATCCAGGCCTGTTCAGTATCTCACAAGCTATTACTGAATGGAAAATTATCATTTATATGCATTTATCACATAAAGATGACATACAGATAATGAACCTTGATGATCTCTTCTGCATATTTCTAATATTTCAGTCTAATGGAAGATAAAACCTGATAGATTTCTTATTGTCTTGAATTCTTCCAGCCTTGATTCCTTCAATATGTAAGGAAGTCTCCTAAAAGCTCATCTTGACATTAAAGGCTAAAAGACCAAATCCACACCTCCATCAGCTATATGGTCTAGTTCCTGTGTACCAGAGTAGAGCCCAAGTCCCCAGGATATTTCTTTAAGACCTTCCTCCAAGAGGAAGGCAGAGCTTTTGCTATTTATTACTATTGATCTCAATTTTATTTCAGGAGACTCAAAACTGAAAATCCTGCTCCGCGTTACTCAGAATGGAAATTAAAACTACGGGATCTTGGCAGAAGGATTCCAAAGCTCCAACAGAAAATGTGACCTCCACAAGGAAGGGACCAGAACAAGGTGAACCACAGCCAAAATTTCTTTTGCTCAATGTCATTCACAGAGGACATTTCCTGAGAAAAGCAGCCTTTTGGTCACCTCTTCCTTCAGCTGTCCCACAGCCTGCTGAGGATGAGTGACAGCATCCCACTGAGCACAGCACTTCCAGAATATTTTAGCAGCTGAATACTAACACTGCAGAACATCACATGGAGTCTGTGTTCAAAATAAAACAAAACACAACTACTCATCTTTTCTTTTTTTCTTTTGAACATCCCATTGCGTTGCTGTAGTGACCGAGCACATCTCACACCTCACTGATGTGACAGCACTATTAGCAGGACTATTTGGGGGAGATGGGAGACTTTTATAATGTTACACACACAAAAAACATTGGGGTTTTCCCACCGAGATTTAACTTCCCTCCCAAAAAGCTGCTGTGGGACAGTGGAACCCGAGGTGACACCCGTGGCAATCCCTGTGGGTGATGTTTCCCACCAACAACACACGTGAGAAAACACGTCCTGGGTAGGACACTTTCTGCAGCCAACGACCAGAAATAACACAGAAAACTGGTTTCAGAACCAGTTGTGCACTCTGCACTTGTGTTTTATTTGTTCTCATGAGTGCAAGCCAAACAATTCCACCCTGAGGGGGGTCCACAGGACGGAGCCACGTGAGATGGCCCAAAATCAGAGAACCTTGGACATCTGAATGCAAGTGCTCAGTGTCCTTTTCCAGGCACTAAACGCTGAGGAAGAGAAAAGAAAGATTCGGGCAGCAATACCCCTCTCACAGCCTCCAAATCAGTAATTTCGATTTCCATGGTGAAATCCCCTCCTCTCCCCGGCGTTGTTGTCTCATCTCCAGCCTTGGATCAACAACCCAACTCGCCAGAAGAGCTGTTTGTTCGACCGTGTCTCCATTTAATCGAATGATAATTGCAGCTCCTGTGGCAGCCCTCCCACCCCTCCCCAGCTTATTCATCCCTTGCCAAGCTTCACTCACCAGTGACCACGACGTTCTGCTGTCTCCAGCGCTGCCTGTTCCTCCCCAGACACTGAATATCCCTTCAAAAGGTACCTGACCTCCTGCCCTGCCACTGAAACAGGAGCTTCTCATCTGCTTTCTAGTTTCTGACCTCTTACAACTTTGCAACTCTTAACCTGCTCTTTGTGGTTTGGGAAGTCCCATTTTTCTGCGTTTTTCATTTCATATCTCACAGCACTGTCAAACAGACCCTTGAGTTCATCTGCCTACGTCTCTAAATTCACATTTATCACTTTTTATCACTCTCAGCCAACTAAAGCGACCCAGAGAGATGTTTTTCACCTGGGCTGCCCTAAATCCATGAAAACAGAGTCCTTTCTTACACGCAGCAGGTATTTCCTTTGTGATTAAAAATGAGAA